CGACATATCGTCTTCAAGTGGTTCGTCACGGGATTCGGCGCGCGAGTTCAATATAGAGGCATTGGACCCGCTCACGTCTGAGGACTTTGCATGGCTTCTTCTTCCGACCACAGGCTGTTTGCCGAGACCGCAATGCGCAGCACTTAGCGCTCATCTCCACACTTACCTTTCCTTTTATGCACCACCAACTTCGCCCACGGATGACGAAGTCGCGGTGGGGGACATCCTGGCGTACGTTACCAAGGTGACCCGCGAGTTTCGCACGCAGCGGTACGATAACAACAATGCACTGCTCATGTATGTCCGCATCCAGGTTGGGCAAGCGTTATGCAGCGCTTTGCTGGATAGCGGCGCGACTCGCAACTTCATGAGCCAGTCTTTTATGCAAAGAGCTGGCCTTGGCGCACAAGTTCGGAGAAAGGCAAACCCGACGGCGATCAAGTCGGCGAATGGAAAGACGCAGCAACTACTCGACCGTTACATCGAGGCCGTACCGGTCTACTTCGCACCTCATGCATGCGAACCGGTGACATTCGATATTCTCGACACGGACTTCGACATCATTCTGGGAATGCCTTGGCTTGCAAGTGCGGATCACACGGTCAACTTCCATCAGTGGACTCTTAGCGTTCGCAACGCCTTCGGCGCGGAAGTGGCGTGTACGATTCCTCYACCGCACTCTTCGATCCGGTGCCAAGTAGTGACGGCCAAATCATTCCGGGCAACTTGTGCTTACGAGCAGCCCGAGGAGATCGGTATATGTTTCCTACGGACCGTCGCGGTAGCCAACTCTTCACCCASGGACTTGTCTTCGGACCCCCGTGTGGTACGGTTGCTGGACGAGTTCGCCGACATCTTCGAGTCACCTACCGGTGTGGTGTTGGGTCGGCCGATCTCTCACGAGATCATTCTTGAGGCCGGTGCCGTGCCGCCGAAAGGTTGCATCTATCGGATGAGCGAGGAGGAGCTTGAGGTACTCCGCGCACAGCTCGATGATTTGTTGGCCAAGGGCTGGATCCGCCCGAGTAGCTCCCCATATGGAGCACCAGTTCTCTTCGTCAGGAAGCAGAACAAGGATCTACGATTGTGTATCGACTACCGCAAGCTCAACGCGCAAACTGTCAAGAATGCGGGGCCTCTTCCTCGCATCGACGATCTTCTCGAGCGGCTGGGCGGTGCGAAGTATTTTTCCAAGTTGGATTTGAAATCAGGATATCATCAAATCTCGATTCAGCTGAATGATCGCTATAAAACCGCATTCAAGACGCGGTACGGGCATTTTGAGTGGGTGGTCATGCCTTTTGGCCTCACCAACGCCCCGGCGACWTTCCAGGCGGCGATGACCAATGAGTTCCGTGCAATGTTGGACCGGTTCGTGCTGGTCTACTTAGACGATATTCTCGTCTACAGCCGGACATTGGAGGATCATCTTGGACATCTTCGACGAGTGTTGGAGACGCTCCGCCGTGCCAAGTACAAGGCCAACCGCGACAAGTGCGAATTTGTCCGGCAAGAGCTGAAATACTTGGGCCATTTTGTCACACCAGAGGGCATCAGTCCGCTATCGGACAAGATTCAGGCCATCCAAGCGTGGCCGGAGCCTTGGAACGTCACGGATGTCCGCTCGTTCCTCGGTCTTACCGGCTACTATCAGCGCTTCATCAAAGGCTACTCCAAGATCGCAGCCCACTTGAACAAGCTTCAGTGCGAGGATCGGCCGTTTGACTTTGGAGAGGAGGCGCGAGGATCATTCTTCGCTCTCAAAGCCGCGCTATTGTCTGCGGAGGTCTTGCGAATCTACGACCCGCTCGCGCCTACACGTGTCACTACGGATGCATCAGGCTATGGCATTGGTGCAGTCCTCGAGCAACATGATGGTGTGGACTGGCACCCGGTCGAGTACTTCAGCAAGAAAGTACCACTCGTGCATTCCATTGACGATGCACGCAAGAAGGAGCTCCTCGCCTTCGTCCACGCGCTCAAGCAGTGGCGGCACTTCCTCCTTGGTCGAAGCCAATTTCGCTAGGTAACGGACAACAATCCGTTGGTCTTCCACAAGACCCAAGACACCGTCAACAGCACCATCGCTCGATGGATGGCTTTCATCGACCAGTTCGATTTCTTTCCCGATCACATTCCCGGGAAGTCGAACCRTTTTGCGGATGCTCTTTCACGGCGTCCGGATCATTGTACCGCGGTCTACTCGACTTTCGAGATTGACGATGACCTGCGAAACAGCTTCATCCGCGGCTACGAAGCCGACCCCGAATTTCGCGACAAGTACGCGAATTGCTCCTCTCCTAATCCGGCTCCTTCTCACTACC